ACTTGATAGCAGTGAGATACATACGTGTGTGTGTGTGTGTCTAATATGAACCCAAATCACAATAAAAAGTTGTTTTTTTTTTTTTTTAAAAAGACGACTTCAGGGATATTTTTGGTTTCGGGTTTAAAGATAATCTCAGGGCAGTAGTTTCAGTGGCTTATCCAGCCTCCATGGCTCCAGAAAGTCTGGATTCCATAAGAATTTGAAATGCATTTCATTGTATTTATTTTTTAAATACCATCAAGTCAGCAATGAACCGAAAATCTGGCTGTCGAAATGGCCTATCTTTCCTTTACATGTTATTTATAAGCTATCGCGCACCCAAGTAGTCTTTCCTGTTCTACCCCCACCCCCACCCCCACCCCATTTTGGCCCTGTGGTGCAGCTCTAACAGAGAATTCCACAGGTGGGTGGCTTTAACAAATAGGGATTTATTCCCTTACAGTTTTGGAGGCTAGAAGTCTGAGTTCAAAGTGCCAGGCTCTAGGGGCTGGGTGAAAGACTCTCAACCTTGGACTTCAGCTCTGCCTCTTGCTCCCGGCCCACTGGAGCTGGGGGCTTTCTTCACTCAGGCAGCTGCTGGCTGCTGAGGCCAACACGCCCAAGGTCGACAAGTAAAATGGTACAGTCCCAAGATCACCAAACAGCATGGCAGGCCACTAGTTCAAGTGCAGAGATAATTCCAGGATCAGCAGAGAGCATGGCAGACTGCTGAATGAAGACTCGGCTACCTGCAGGGTCCAAGTGTGCCAGAAAGCTCAAGACCTATCTCAAAGCTTCTCTTATAAACTGGAAGCAGACCACATCCTTAAGGCAGGTACTCAGCTGTTCCAGTAGATTCCATCATGGAATTGATGACCAGTCTCATCATGGGGGATAACTACATCCAGCTGCCCAGCCACTCAACCAGGCCCAGGCAAGTTGACAAACAAACTTAACAATACCCCCTTTAGTTGATTTCCCAGAATATGTCCCAACCCACTGCCATCAAGTCAATTCTGACTTATAGTGCCCTAAGAGGACAGAACAGAGCTGCCCCATAGTATTTCCAAGGCTGTCATCTTTACAGGAGCAGATGGCCAGGGCTTTCCACTGTGAAGCCACTGATGGGTTTGAACCATCAACCTTTCAGTTAGCAGCTGAGTGTTCAACCTTTGGGCCACTGGGCTCCTTTCCTTTCTCATACGGCCTTGTTCATAAGCTTTGCAGAACTTCTCTCCTGATGATAAACACCTGTCCGGAAGGGCTTGGTTGACTGTCTCTGCAATGCAACGGCGGGTCTCAGTGTAGTGTTTTAAGTGTGGTCGGTACTAGAGAAGTATTTTGCTTCTTGATGATTCAAAATTAGGGAAGGATAGGACTTCACCTTGCACATCTATGTAGGAAGATGTGCCTTCTAGTATAATTGATAGCATCAGTTGATGGAACCAACAGCAGTGGTTCAGTTCAATAAATTATGGAATAGTCATATAACACGATATTGCTAAAGCCTCTGTTTTGACATAAGGAGCTCTGGTGGTGCAGTGGTTAAAGCATTCAGCTGCTAACCAAAATGTCAGTCATTTGAGTCCACCAGCCGCTTCATGGGAGAGAGATGAGGCAGTCAGTTTCCCTAAAGATTTACAACCTTAGAAACCCTATGGTTCTACTCTGTGCTATAGATAGAGTGGCTATGGGTCAGAATGGACTCCACGGCAGTGGGTGTGGTTTGGGCTTTGCTTCTGTGAAGATTGACAGCCTTGGAGACCCTGTGGGCAGTTCCACTCTGCCCTCTAGGGGCGCTGTGGGTCAGAATGGACTCCATGGCAGTGGGTGTGGTTTGGGCTTTGCTTCTGTGAAGACTGACAGCCTTGGACACCCTGTGGGGCAGTTCCACTCTACCCACTAGGGGCGCTGTGAGTCAGAATTGACTTGATGGCAGTGAGTTTGTTTTGGGTTTTACAAAACGTGCTTTAGAAAAAGAGTCCCAGACCTGACTATCAAGTAAGGGCAGAGTGAACGATGCTGGCATGATAGATGGTGGAGACAGGGAGAAGTATTTCACTTTCCTCTTGTAAAAATGGCTTGGGGGGGGGGGGGGGGGGCAGAGTCTGACCTCCTCTAACTTTATGAGGGTGCAGGGTCATCTGCATCTGCCCAAGGCTGATTCCTATGGCATGGTGATGAGACATGTCTCCTCTCTCCAACCTTATCACCAACTCGGCCACCAGCCGTCCCTCCCATGGCATTCTCTCCTTCTCCACTGGGTTCCATCATCCATCACAATGGCCACACACAACTCACGGACAATACTCATGATTAGAGGCTTTATTAGGGAAGTAACCGGTTACAATTGAGGATCCAGAATGACTCAGGAGACAGTTCTTCAATCAGGACAGCTGCTTCTCAGCCGTGCCAGCAGGCAGGCCTCTCCTTGGCCCCCGGCCCCTCCGCCCAGCTTAAGGCTTGCTCCTGCAAGTGCTGCAAAGCTCTTTAACTCCGACAATAGATGCCCACTCTGCCAGTAAGCCTCCAGCCCAAAGGCACTTTCTAGCTCCATGGATCTGTGAGCCTAGCTCCACCAAGTACCCAAAGACACCCTGCTCCAGCAGCATGCTCCTGCCAGAAGGCACTCAACTCTCTTGCTCTCTGGGTTGCCATATGCACTGTAACCACCTTATTCCGTGAGCTGAAAGCCCACTACGCCATCTCACGCTGGCCTCCTGGACCTACTTCTGCAGATGTGCTTTCTGCTGCTGTTTCTCGGCGTCTCTGGCATTACAGCTCTCTCTGTCTCCTGGGTCTAGGAGGTCCTCAGCACAGGGACCCCAGGTCCAAAGGACATGCTCTGTTCCCGTCTCTTCTTCTTAGTGGTAGTGAGGTTCCCCGCCCCTTTCTGCCCTGGGGATTCATTTTAAGCCTCATGAGATGACAAAACTGACCAGTCCCCTCATTAGGGTTCCATATACCTTATTTGTGCAGTCCCACCCCTGCATGGGTTCTGTGCACCTTATTTGCATAGTTAGGAAGCTGTCCAATCCCCTTGGTGGGCCACAAGCACCTTATTTGCATAGCCCCACCCAGTCAAGTGGTAGGAGTTACAAGAGCATGCATGGCTGAAAGGGCATATCAAGCAATTCACTGCACTGCACCTCTTAAGTCTATCTTTTTTTTTTTTTAAAAAGACAAAACCCAAACTCAACTCAACCCAACCCATTGTCATTGAGTCAAATCCAACTCATAGCAGCCCTACAGGACAACGTGGAACTGCCCCCTAGGATTTCCAATGTTAGAAATCTTTACAGAAGATTTAGAAATGAAAGATTTGTAAGTCTTTCCCCTGTAGAGCATCTGGTGGGTTTGAACCGCCAGCCTCTTGGTTAGCAACCAAATGGTTTAAACACTGTACCACCAGAGCACCTAAAGAAAGAAAAATTTGTTGTAGTTATGTGCCGTGGAGTCAGACCCGACTCATAGCGACCCCTCCTTAGGTTTCCAAGGCAGTATCACTACAGAAGTAGATTGCCCCATCTTCCTTCCGAGGAAGAAAAAACGTCTGAACTCCAGTCACTGCTCGACATCTCGTATGCCGTCTTCTGCTGAAAAAAAAAAAAAAAAGAAGAGTACAAGTGAAATCAGAAATGTGGTGCTGTTGTTCATGGGTGTCATTTTGTCACTTCTCACCCCTAGCAACTGCATGTGACAGGGTAGCACTGCCCTGTAGTGTTGTCAGACCACCATCTTTGTGGAAGCCTATGCCTGGGGCTTCTTCCAGCACAGCCTCTGGGGGTCGAACCACCAGCCTTTCAGTTCGCAGCTGAGCTCTACTTAATCTCAAAGAGAAGAGAGTGGGTGCGGGGGGCTGCAGTTAACTGTCTCATGGTCGGCTGCCTCAGCTCCCCAGAGGAGACCCTGGGAGAGGTGGTCGCTGGGAGAGGTGGACGCTGGGGGTGGTGGTCACTGTGGACAGTTGGACACCAGAGAGAGGTAGACACTGGGAAAGGCAATCACATCTGTTTATTAGCTTCCATTTCACAACTGCATTTAACAATGTTTACTGGCAAAAATAAAAAAAGTTTATAATTGGTGAAGTATCAAAAGCAGGTTGTACAATGGAACATAAATATGCTATTAAACTGGATAATGATGGTGTGTATTTGTGCGTGTGCATCCTAATGAAACCTGCCAGAGCGGGAACCTAAGGGCTGGACTTCGTTTTCCGGGTCTCCCAAGGTTTCCGCCTGTGACAGGGTGCAGTGTGACCGCTTTTCTGTCCCTCTCTCCGAGAGGAGAACATGTATGTTTTCCTGCTTTGACAGGTTTCTGCCTTACACAGGTTCCGGCTCTAGGAGATTTGACTGTAAACGCATAGGGAAAAAAAAAATCTGGAAGGAAGGAAGTAACGAGGTGGCTTGATGGTAAAATAAGTAACTAACGAGGTGGGGGGGGTGGAAGAGTTAGGGGGGAACCAGGCTGACTGACCATCGCTGCTGAGCCGAGCGGCCCGCGTCCTGCGGGGGTCGCCACTGTGCGCTGTGCTTACCCGTCGTGTGAAAACCCCGCACGTTTAGTTTTCACCGGAAAAGCTTTGTCTGATCCGTCGCTGTTTCCTGCGGGGCGCAGCTGACGTGCAGCTACTGAGTGGAAGCCGATTCCTCCTTGGGACGTCGCTCACGGTCACGTCCCTCTTACCTGGCCGGAGCTGCCGGGCGCAAAGCCAGCGAACTTTCTCGCACTTGCGGGGCCGGGAAGACGCCGCTCTCGCGGGGCTCTCTCTCCGGTGGCCTTCGCTGCCTCCCCGGGGGCCCCCGGCTGCCACTGAGCCTGGCGCCCGCGCTCCGCTCGGTGGGGCACTGGCGCTGCCTCCGTGCGCTCGGGGCAGACGGCTGGGTACCTTCCCCCTTCGCTTCCGGCCTCCGATTGGTCCCCGAGGTCACATGAGGGCCCGGGGGCTGGAACTCTGCCGTGTGGCTTTGGCCCTCCTTTTTCTTTTTGAAAACGCTCTGGGTGCGCAGAGCTGCCCGGGGCTGGCTCTCTGACTGAAACTGCACACGGACCGACGGAAACCGCCACCCGAAGGCAGAGCGAGGTGGCCCTCGGCCAGGCAGCCGGCATGTTTAGCCAGGTGCCCAGGACCGCGGCTTCAGGCTGCTACTATCTAAATGCCATGTCACCCGAGGGCCAGGAGATGTACTTGCGATTTGATCAGACCGCCAGGCGCTCTCCTTACCGGATGAGCCGGATTCTAGCGCGCCACCAGCTAGTGACAAAAATCCAGCAAGGTGAGTTGCCCGCGGTGGAGACGGTGCAAGGCTGCCGCTCGCCGTGCCTCCTCTGGGCTTGCTTGCACGCTAACCCAGTATTGTTTTTAATTGATTGTCTCTTCCCTTTACAATCGGCGGGTTTCTGGGACACACCGCGCGCGCGCTGTAACTTGGGGAAAATAAGGCCATTCTGTCGTTTTAAGCAAAGGTGACAGCACTAGGCTGCCACGTGACCCGACAGAAAGTGCACGCACTACTTCACGGCCCCGGAGCCGGGAGCCGTCTGTGTCCACGACGTCTGTGTGTCTGCAGGACAAACGAGAAAGTTAAGGGGCCACCCCGTGGGCACTCAAGCAGCTTCTCTTCGGCTTCCTCTCCGTTGTGTTGAGAACACAGACACTTGGCTGTTTGAGTAGGAGAGAAGGGAAGAGACCCAAGTCTTTGTCTGCCCAGTGAACTAAAGGCAGCAAAAGCTGAAAAGTGGCGCTCAAGGTCACAGAGAAGCGGGAGATGGTGTCACCAGGCCCGTGCTCACATGATGGTTGTTTGGGGGTGTCCCTCAGCCTGATAGGTGACCCTGGGAAGTAGAGGCAACAGACGGCACTGGGTGAAGGCTGGGAGGAAGATGGTTGGTGAAGGCAGCAGACATCGAGCTCTGCGTTTATGACCTCCGGGCTTGAGAACTTAGAAAGAAGTGCGTTGTTGATAGGTTTGCATCCGAGGTTGCCTTGGCTTAGTTGAAACTGTTTTTCTGGTTAGGGAGAAAGTGTCTGCTAACTTGGAAACAAATCCTGTGCCCTGTGCCCTGTGCCCAGAAGCACCGGCTCCTCAAGGCAGCGAGGAAAGGGTGCTATTGCTTGCAAGTGCCTAGGTGGATTTTTAGGTATGTTTTCATTTTTGTGTTTTTTCAGCCACACACACACACACACACACAAATCACTACTAAAAAATCAAATCGCTGAAGTTCATCATTGTCAAAAAATAACAAAAACTTTAAACCATGCTCCTTATCTTAGCGTGGAAAACCAATCCAAACTCACTGTGGTCAAGTGGATTCCAACTCAAAGCACCTGTAGAGGACACAGTGGAACTGCCCCACAGGGTCTCCAAGGCTGTCAATCTTCACAGAAGCAAAGCCCAAACCACACCCACTGCCGTGGAGTCGATTCTGACCCACAGCGCCCCTAGAGGACAGAG